ACATACATACATACATACATACATACATACATACTCTTCAACTCATATATCTAACCTCAAAATTTAAATTTGGGCATACATACCACCATACAAGTGCACGATTTTTACACTGAAATTTATTATAATTCCTTATTCCCCAATTTGAACACATGAACGATTATATCCCCAACATTTGCACCTCTCTACAAAACACTTCATCATACTCTATAAATTAATGTGAATAACTTAGTTGTCTTAGTATAGCTCTCCCGAGTCATTATGAATTATAATAAATTCAATGTATTAAAAAATTAAAAAAATTTAAAAATAAGCCTAAAAAAATAATCAACCAAAACATACACGGACTTAACATATATGTTCTTTTAAAGATAACAATTTCTTTCATATATTACACCCATTACAGAACAAAACCTTATAATCAGAATTTAAACAAATCAAAAATTACAAATTATGCCAAATCTTAGGGTTTACAAGGAAACTCAATTTAATTGAACCTGGTTATTGAGTTCCTTCGCCACTCTTCTGATATGCAGCCTCTAGACACTCCTTGGCCCTATGAACTTTTGACTGCAGGTAGAAGCTCCCCATCTTCCCATTCCTCTCAAACAGTGTATCATACCTCTGCCCAAATAATTTAAAAATAAAATAAAATTTTAATATATCAATTATCACAAAGAAGATTGGCAAATATACCCCTCCATTCCAATGTATTTAAATATCTAGCCCCAAAACTTACAGTTTTTATAAACATGTCGCCACACCTATTGCATGAAAAGATGTCTACTTTTTGCAAAAAATGGGGGTATTTTTAATGTGATATATGAGAAAATAAATGCAATCAAATCTCTAATATGCAATATATGAGAAAGCAATCAAACAAATATGTCACAAATCTCTAAACAAATCTAATAATTTCAAAATCCGTCAAAGATCAAAAAATTGCTTGAAATATTCTTTGGTAGATGAAGAAGATCCCTCTGATGATTCTTGTATATGATCTAG